CCTCCCCTCCTCTGAGACCTCCCACATCTCAGCCACTTTCCCCTCCAGCTGCTCTGAGCCCTCTCCCTCCTCACGGCCCGAACGCGTCGCATCCAGAGTCGCTCTCGTTTGACGGCATCTTTTAGCCCCTTCCTCTTCTTCACCCTCGGCCTTCATCAGAACCATCCGGGGCCACTCCAGGCGCTCGGTGCAAATCAGGCCTTTCACATGTTAATATATGCAAAGCAAGTGTAACCACATCCTCTGTCGTGTTTCTCCTCCTTCTGTCCAGAATGGAAACCCTGACAGGGACAAGCCTCCTTGTAACTCTCAGGAGCTGGAGGACTGTGATGGGTTTCCAGAAGACAGCTCCAGCCTCACACACTTTGATGAAGCCTCACTCAAGCCCACTCAGGTGGTGAGTAACACCTCTCTCCTTCACTGGTAAACACTCTGATTCTCCAATATTCAGGTCCGAGCCCTCCTATTTAACATCTTCAGGCGTTTTCTGCCACCTCTTCCCATTCCTCATTACCCTCAAGTGCACTGTCGGGCCGCCCGATGCTCTCCGCCGTGATGAGAGCACGATTCTTACTCAGCCTGGTCCCTGCTGAGAAAGCCAGAGCTGGTTTGCTGCCCTTTAACAAGCCACTTGAACCAGAGATCTCCACAAAGACCCAGTAACAAAGAACAGGCAGGCCTCCTTCACCGCTCATCCTCGTGGATCGAATAGCAAGAAGCCGAAGCGTTGCGGCTCGCGACTATTTTTGCAAACGTGGAGGATATATTGGTGAAGGAGCAGCGTGTCACTGGGGTTCAGAGGAAGAGGTCAGATCTCATGCGATGCCTCAAAGCACAAATTTGCCGTCTGATGTCCAGTTTTTTTTTGGTTTTGTTGTGCAGGTCGCAGCTGAGTCACGTATCGACTCTTTACTTTTGTGCGATAAAAAGCCGAGGAGTTGTGTCCAGAGAGACTGATGCTATCTTTCCACTGAATAAAGAAAAAATGCTCGGCATCAATAAGCGGCCTTTGCTCAGAAAACTTGTTGAGATGGAACAAGTTTTCTTCTGGGATTTTTAAAGGCCAAGTCAACACTTTGGATGGTGCACAGCTTTTCTGTTGACACCGCTTCTCATTTGCATAAAACTGAAGTCTAGGCTACTTTATGCAAATGAGAAAAACATCCGATGTATCTGGAAACTTCCAAAAAAAATGTTTAAAATGAAGAGCGATCCAGCAGTTTAGTTTTCCAGGTGAGTCGATATTTGCGCGGCTGTAGGAACATCTGAGAACACCCTGGTGGCCATGTAGCATAACTGCAGTGCTTTGAGTTACATGTTGAAGTCAGTGTGCTTAGCAGGAATAATGTTCACCATTTTCACTGTTGTTTATCACTACGCTAGCTAATTAGCACGAAGCTAAAGTACAGCCGAGGAAGACAAACAAAGGGATGTTATGATCGTGATCGGCACAAACATACGACTGATTTCTCGTCTGTTGTCGCGGAAATGTGAGAAATAAGATCAGTAAGCCTCGTAGAAGTCTCTGTCAGTGCTCCTTTACTACCTGAACTCCCACAATGCTCTCTGCCTGTCAACACTGAAGTGACCACCTTCTCTAGTCCTACAACAAATCCAGAATACTTGTGTGTGTTACCAAGGAAAATGCTATTTGGTATCAGCAGATGCTAAATATTAAATGATAAGATAAGATAAGATATGCCTTTATTAATCTCACAGTGGAGAAATTCACATCGTTGACAGCAGCTTTCAACAGACGTACACAGATACGACACAGGAAAAAACAAAAAATAAAAAATGTACAAAAAATAAAAAATGAGTCAAAAGCTGTTACACAGAAATGTGATCAAAGCAGCAAAAACAACTGTCACATGTTTCTACGGGGATCAATGTCCCAGTTTATTCCTCCTTAATTTACCACTTGCTTGCTGGCCTGATATAAGCAAGTCTCACATAAGTCTCTGTCGGTGCTCCTTTACCAGCTAAGCTCCTGCAAGTGCCCTCCTGCTCTGGTCATGAGCAGCGTTGTTCCAGGTGCCCACAGGTGTTACCAGTACTGACACGAGATGGTGGCTCAACATCCATCCATCCATTATCTCTACACCTTAATCCTCACTAGGGTCATGGGGGGCTGGAGTCTATCCCAGCTGACTCAGGGCGAAGGTAACCAGTCCATCACAGGGCTACACTTAGAGACAGACAACCAAGCACACTCACATTCACACCTACAGACAATTTACAATCACCAATTAACCTCAACATGTTTCTGGACTGTGGGAGGAAGCTGGAGAACCCGGAGAGAACCCACGCTGCACGGGGAGAACATGGAGACTCCACATAGAAAGATTCCGGTGACGCGAACTGGCGACCTTCTTGCTGCGAGGCAACAGTGCTAATCAACTGCGCCACCCTGCAGCCCGTGGCTCAACATGATAAAGTTGTTTTACTACTTACATTTTCAGATAAACACAGCTGGAAGTTCGACCAAACACTCCTTGTATTTCGACCGTTGGTCACAGAAGTCACTGATGGCGTCTTGGTTGAGCCACGGAGTGCAGAATCTACAGTTTTCCACAGAATCTGTTTTAGTTTCTGGCCAATTTTTAAATGAGGCATATTTGACGAAGTAGCACAATTGTACGCTTAGATCTGGTTTAGCTTCTCCACTTAACGGCACGTCACGAATGAGTGGCTCAAGGTTCAAAATCTGCTGATTCCTTCTGTTTTGGTGTCACTTTGGTGATGAAGCGTTATTGGACGTCCAGGTTAAAAAATCCCAAAAGTATCATTTATTCAAAAACTGAAGACCTGGACAAACTGGACGAACCTTTGTAGCCAGTTGAGGGTAAAGTAAAGGGATCAACAAGTTTTTATAATTTATCCCCAACATTCAAATGTCGAGACGATCCATCTAAAAGGTTCAGTTTAACTCAAAACTGCAAATTACAGCCTCACGGTGGCACAAGAGGAAAAGTCAGGTCACAGTGGATGCTTGTTGTAAAATCTAATCAGTTTTATGGTTTTTTTCTATTGTTCAGCGTTGCGTGTTCAGTGATTCAGCTTTTTCAGGAGTTATACAGTTTAATGGTAGGAAAGACCTCCTGTGGATGCTCTTGTGTTGCTGTTAAAGTGGAAGCAGATTGATGGATGCTTTATTCATCCCTTTGGGGGGAATTCAAGCAGCCCTCGTGCTTCCTTTCTGGGTGTTTTAATGTCAGTAGCTACTCCTGCTGTTTATCTGTGCAGCAAACCAGCATCATAATCATGTCAGTGTCTCCCTTCCCCTGAAACCAGAGGTTGAACATCGTTTGGTGACTCTGTGCTCTCTGATAGTAGCTCTGTAGCGATCACTATCGGTAATCCAGCTGGTCTTATTTATGGGATGGAAACTCAATAAGCAGCAGAGGATCAACAGTTGGAAGTTTCAGAATCAAATCAGAGCGAAAACTAAAATGCAGAGATTTGTGAGTTGGGCCGCTAGACTTTTGTATCCAGGCAGCCGAACAGGGCTTTTAAAACATATTTAACCCCCCAGTTTTTCTTTTCATTGCTTTTCAATATTGTTTCATGTTGTGAAAGTGGTGTCAGTTAATTAAAAATAAAAAACGAACAAAAAGGATTCAAATATACCCTTCACTAAAATTAAGCTTTTGGCCATCAGACTATACGCTATGATTGGCACCAGACATTGCACACAAACACACCATCCCCACTGTGAAGCATGGTGGTGGCATCATCATGACGTGACGCATGGTGGTGGCATCATCATGACGTGAAGCATGGTGGTGGCATCATCATGACGTGAAGCAT